AAGCAGGGACCATCGACTCGGATCACCGGCTCTGAGGAAGACGAAGACGTCGAAACGTTAGCCGAAAATAAATATATTTATCAACCTCGTGTAAGCTTATCAAGAAAGAATACATATAGAAGAAACGTCAATTAAATAGGTTTTTATCTCAGTTCAATCTAAGTGGCTTCTGTTTGCAGGTGTTTTTAAGTGACTTATCTTTTGTGGCTTTTTGTGTTCGATCTCTGGACTGTGTTTTTTCTGAATTCAGGAATTTGATAACGGAGCTGTTAGCCTTTTAATGTCACTTTGGTTCAATTCGATTCAATTCCTAACAATACTCCAACTATTTAAAATACAAGTGGTGTTTTCTTAAGGAAAAATGTTCTTCTTCGTTTGATCTACTTCTGTATGTATATTTTGTAGATATAATCTTTTATAAAATATGAAATGAAGGGAGGAGTACTGCAATGCTAGTGGTGCGCCATTATTAGAAGGACGGTCCACCCCATCCAGGCTGGTTTGAGCCCTCATCAGGCCTACCAGGCTCCAAAACTCTCTAGGATTGGGCAAGTGCCATCAGACTAGCCCGGGTTAATCACATTTCCTCTAATCCATGTGGGCATGGCTATCTCAGGAATCTAGGGAGAATCGACTCGTCTAGCAATCAAAGATATTCATAGCGAAGAGAAGAACATTCTCAAGCAGTTCCCGAACTCGTACGTCAAAAAAAGTTCGAAGACTCTCCGTGGATAATGGATAGGAAGAAACGGTTGCAGAAAGCGCTGGGATCCGTTCAGCGTGATATATGTCATATTAGATCGTGTAATAAATAAGAATAAACAAAATAATGTGCAATGAAAATGCTAATGCCGTTGGATCGAGGATCGACATTCCGCTCCCATGCACTTTTACACGCCCTATTATATGGCTTCCAATTGATCATATCAAGTCCATTTTTTGGTTGTGTTGTCCATCCTCAGCACTGTTGTTTAATCTACATAATCAATTCGCTAAGCCGTAGATCTTTCGGCTGATTTTTTTAATGTTTCAAAAACCGACTTTCCTCCAACCTCAGCATGGCTACTCAACATCTGTTTTCTCATTCAGAAGCTAACACGAAGTTGATAGAAAAAGGCCTTGTTCGGTTGCGCCATTGCCTTCTTCAGAGTCGGTTTGATCCAATTCGATTGCCCACAGTTCGTCATTCTTCCTATATGGATCTTTGTGATCGCATCGAGTCGAATCAAGTTAAGCACCCACCAGTCCAATGAACTAACCTCGCTCGGCAATGTTCTTTTATACAGGGTTGTTCTTGTGGATACTGACTGTTCGCTGACGATCGTTTCGTTTTCTCCGGACAATCTGTCCTGCAGCAACTGGCATCATTGTGAACTAACATAGAGCGTAATAATTTTTCAAAACTAACTTTCCTTTAACCTCGGCATGGCCAATCGGCATGTTTTTTATACTTGTTTGCTCTAAGGTCAACTATGACAACAAGCGTGTTATGGTCTTCAGTCTTCGTCATAGCGAATTTAGTGGTCAACGGATGCTTGATTATGGCAAAAGGGTCCAGTCTGGCATCGAGCCGATGGAGATTTCCGAGGATATCTTGGCATTCTCGGGATCCTCAAAGCCTTTGGTTGGCGGAAGTGCACAGAACTGCGGACCTTCTTCTTATGTATGGTTTTCTGTCTTCTTACCACTTTTAGTTTGGCAACAATTGCTTTGGAAACCTTTTTCTGTATTTAGATCTTTTTTTCTGTCCCATTATCGGACCGTAAGGCCTCTTTCGACTCTGGAATTAAACTTGGGATACTGGGATGTTTTTTATATATGAAATGCATGACATGATATGATGTCACATATGGTGCAGATCCCAGTTGCTTTTTCACTCGATTCGGTGTTCTCGAAGGTCTTCAGTTTTGCGTATGCGTTCGGCTGTCGCTTGATTCAGTGTCGTTGAATCCTGGTGTATTTAATTCTGCCTGGAATCCTACCATAGCTATATTGGGGCGTTTTCAGATCTTCATTACACCACAGGTGCTCACCGGTCACTGTAGATCAGAGTGAGCTTTTCTCAGAGATGTCTGGTGTCAAT